CCGCTCCCCATCATTCGGGTGCTCCAGACCCTCCCCAGCTCCCTCGCCCCTCTCTGGACAAAGCTGGTTTTCCCTGCTAGGCCAGCCTTGTAGTCAGGTACGAGATCTGCATTACTGAGGGCTGGTTCGTGTAACTCACCCATGTGTTCAGCTACTGAACACCAGTTACGGGTGTGACTGTGTTGCCACGTGTGGCGTCTTAGGTTTCCGCACCTGCAGGCCTCTTGAATTCACAGGGTTTAGCATTCTGCTGCTAAACGTGTGTGGCTTCTCAAGAGAGAGAGTACAAGAAACACATTCTTTTCATGGTTCCTTACAGTGACCAAAGGACCACGTCCCCCTTTTAAACCAGGATGGGAGAGAGCTGTTTAAAAGAAGGCGCACACTTTGTATGGGGAAATTTTCTTTGTTTTTAATTTACAGCAGAAAGAATATAAAGCATTCAGAAAACATTTTCCATATTTTAAGGGCAATTCAAAACATTTTGCATGGTTCCAGCAGCTGAGTTCTTCAACAGATCCATTGATTCAGTGATGCTTTACATGCACGGTTACAAAAATAAAACTTACAAAAGAGAAGACATCTATACTAGTTTTACATGCAAGTCTTGGGGACCCCCCATTGGGCACCAGCTATTGTGTGGAACTGCCATAAGCGTGCAACCAGAGAGGGGGTTCATGTTATATTCTGTATTTCTTTCACACAGTATTACTGCTGTCGAATGTGTTTCACAAAGGAGCAACGCCAGTACCGGAAGACAGAAGCTCTGGCTCCTGGCACTTGGGAATTTGAACTTTCCCGGAAAGCTGCCCTTACTTCTCTTCCGTGAAACCTCAGTCCCACAGCCACGAGGAGGGCGAGCAGCACCGTGGGAGCTGCCCGGGACACACAGGGGTAATGGCCCGACACAACAAAGCACTCGGTGGGGCGCCCGGCCGGCAGCGCGCCAGCAGCTCTGCTCGCCCGCAGAACTGCCCGCGCGCCGGCAGCCAGGCACGCCGGCTCCGCTGGCTGAAGCAGGATCGAGGTCGGTAGGTACACCACCAGGCCCATGGATCTGGAAGAGTAATGTGAAATAGCTCTGTATAGTACTGACTCGGTTTCTGCAAGGACAGGGAGTTGAAACGCTTCCACTGAGGTCACTACTCTTGTTAGGAAAAGGTCGATTCTATATTGTCACGTATTGGTTAATGGGAGTAACATTTCGGTTTCAAAACGTCAGCGTTCTTCCAGTATTAATACAGAGCATTTCCAATTCATCCCAAAGGAGATTCTTCGGCGTCTCCCGTTCCGCTTTTGCGTGAGAGGAAAATTTAACGGTAAGGTCCCAATTCCATCCAGTAATGGAGGCTATGAGGCTGCCCACGGGCACCGTGAGCGCCCGGCCGCTCGTTTGTCTGTTTTTCCCTTTTTTTTTGTTTTTTAAATTGAATCAGGTCATAAAGCAGCAGTTCAGAAATGTACAAGAGAATTCTGGTAATGAGCTATAGCACATCTACTGTAATTCAATGCTGGCAGTGAAAAGAAGTAATTAAAAACAGGTACAATTATAGAAAAGGCACCAAGAGCACTGACCCCAGTTTTTTGCCACAATCTTTGTTTCTACTCTTCTTTTAAAGACACCAGTTTAAAAGCTTCTTATGTGTGAATATTTTTAGGCTTCACAACAAGCCTTGCGGTTGAACATTGCGGTTGGTGGCCGGGATCAAGCAAGAACGACAATTCCAGAACTCACAATCCCAAGCTGACACCGGTCCCTTCAGACGCCAAGCGGCCGCGGGAGCAGCCCCTGGCCGGTGCCGCCAGCTCCTGCCCTACATTCTGTGCAGCCAGGACCAGAGCTGGCCCCGCTGCGGAGAACTGGTGACGGTTTCCAATAGTAGTTCAATTTAAAAACACCTAATTTCTTTGGCTCCTCACTATGTGGAAATAGCAATATACCATGACACCCCTACAAGATCAGTTTGCATCTTTTTTTAAGTTTTACTTAGTTTTTTAAAATTTTTTGTGCAATTTTTATTACATTTTCTGACTTCCAGCAGGAGATATGAAAATGTGAAACGTATTTTCTACTTTCGAACTATTTCTTTTTTTTTTTTTTTTCATTTTATGTTCATTCTAAGTGTTCTTTATTGGAGTGAGTGTATGGTGTTAAGCTAGATACGGTTTTTGTACTCTTATGATTATCTGCTTTGCAAAAGTAACTTAATTTCTTTAAGCGATATCAGCATTCACATTACTTGGCACCATTGGCAAAATAAAAAAAAGAGAAGACGGGGGAAAAAGAAAGGAGGAAGGAATAAATAAATTAAACCGAACCGAACTCCTGGTAGCCAAAATCAAATGTAAACATATCCTTTTTTTTTTTTTCCTTTTTTTTTTAAAGTAATGTTGCTCTGCCTTTTTTTCCTAAGTCTAAATACAGTAGCTCTTTTTTGCCATTTAGTCATGCTTTAGCAAAAATGTTCTTCTAAAGAACATTTAAAATAAAGTTTCTTATAGTGAAATAAAGTTTTTGTTTCATTTTACAGACCATAGCCACTAATGCTTTGCTTTGTTCATTTCTTTTTCTTGAGTTCATGCACATATCTCTTTGTTTTAGTATATACAATATGTACAAACAATACATCCACACTCTTCTCGTTCATTCAGACAAAACTATACAAATAATAATTTTATCTTGCCAAGTTATTGACCCTTTGTGAATAAAATATTTAGTAATTAATCAATATATTCCCTTTCAAATATTTTTCTCATTTTCCATTTCTACCTTCTATATATACAGAAACTGCCCAGATTTTGATGAAGTAGCCAAAATAAGAAATTTACTGGCCAGAATGCAGCACCACTCTGATCTTTAGGTGGTATAAAATGTCCAGGCAACGTATGGACGTGACTCTGCAAAACGACAAGAGGTTTGACAAGCACTTAAGATAAAAAGCTACGTGTTTTACAAGCTATTTTAAGAACTTAATTAAAATCATAGTACGTGAAGGTAAGGCTAGAAAATAAAGTGCTGAATATGAGAGAAAGTACGTGACAGTTGATATGTTTGCAGGTTCTAGTAAAAATACCAAAAAAACCGCTTAAAACTGGCTGTAGCCGCTCCCTCCGTTCCTCAAGCGTTACCCGTTTATCTCGCACACCAACCCCTCCTGTCCGTTCCCACCGGATGTATTAAAAACCTGCAGATTTAAAAAGTTGCATTAAGTGTGCTGTAGAGATTTAAATAAACACAAAGGACAGAAGTGCGAAGGAAATGAGGATGCATGGACCCCGTAACGATGCTCTGAGCTAAGCCCCTCACCGAGACTCACAGCTTCAGTTCTTGGAGATGACCGACAGTGCAGGAACAGCATTCTCGTGTTGCTTGTGCATTCCCACCTTTTCTTAACAAGATTTTTGGTATAATATTTGTACAGTTCCACATGTTGTTTAATACAGCCCTATATGAAAAGGATAATTAATCGCTTCTTCCTTCCGGAGAATGAAGCAACTCGCAATTTCCTCCTGGTGTCTTTTGTTTTCCCCATGATCCAACAGAAGATTGAGTTCCAAGATGTCTTGCTGAACAAATTAAAAGTTGTCCATGAAAGTGCAAATGCAATGACCAAAACATTACTGTTAAAATCCTGCAGCTGGCATTTCCAGACCTGCAGTGGGTATTTTTGTTGTTGTTGTTGCATGTCTCTGCTAAAAACAGAAAATGAAAACAGTCTGAAAAGCAATGTCACATTGCTACGGGATGCTGCTGCGTATCTTCAAGTTCCTTGGCCTTTTTCAATTCTTTCACTCTGAAAAAACAAAGAGGAGCTATATAACACTTCTATCGCAAATCTCTTTCAGACAAAACCCAAAGCGACTCCTCGCCCTGACCGCCCTCGCCAGCTCCCGGCGGCGCGACGGGAGGGCGCAGCGCTCCCGACACCGTGCACAGCTGGAAGCGCAAGAAGGGGCCACCGGAAACCGAGTCAAAGCACATCTGGAGAGACGCCTGTCTCCAGCTGCTGGTGTTCCTGGTGTCTGTAACTACGGCTGGACTCCCTTCTGCGCTGGCCGTTTAACGGGTTGTGGTTTGGTGGGACTGCTGTCTGTCAGTGCATTTTGTGGCTGCCTGCTATCCCAGCTGTTCTGGGCAAAGGGGCTTTTCGGTGTCGACCTCTTTACACCTCGCTGACGCGGCCACAACGCGACGTCGTGCCCAGCGCAGCGGAGTCGGTCAGCGATGCTTAACGCAGGAAGCCTGATGTTGGTACAGAATCTCGCATAAGAAAGCGTTCATATGCGAGCAGAAGGAGCGGCTATGGGTGTGGAAAAGGTCATTTACTTCACGCTTACTCCAGCTGCCAGCGGCTGCGCTTTCTGGCGTGGCGGGGGTGGCAGGCTCATGTGTTTCCCAGCCAGCAGCAGAGGGCACTGCGTGCCAAGGGAGATGAACCCAGAGCGTGGCAGAGCCGCTCGCCCTCGGCACGGGCTGATGCTTCAGCTCTTTACAAGGCATGTGATACGTTACCTCCTCTAGCACTTGTCAGCATAAGAACTAAACCATCACTGAAAGCTGAAATAATTAAGAATCACATTAAAAAGATGAGGAGAGGGGAATCACTGCAATCCCATCAAATAGAGCAGAATCCTGCCTCGGTGCTGGAGCAGCAGCAACCCCTGGGCTGAGAACGGCCCAGCCAAGGAGCCAGAGCAAACCCACGGGACCCCCTCCTGCCCTGCACTCGCAGCGGGCGCCAGCTGAGCCCGGGGCAGCTCGGCTCTGCCTCCTCCTGCAGGGAGCTCCTCTGCATCAGCGCAAGAGGAGCGGAGCACGGCCTAATCCAGGTGGTTTAGCAAAGCACGTGCATGCCCAAGTGATGCAGCCAAAATTGAATGGACAAACAACGCAGGTATGGCATAAAGAACTGTCAGAGCTGCAAGTCTGTGTGACAGAATCCAACTAAAGTGGAGGAATTTAACAAAGCCTAAGTAAAGAGAGGTAGTAAAAGATGCTGGGAGAGCTAAGCAGCAGCAATGCCAGTTTGTAGCTTCTGCACATGGACTTCCACTCACACATCCTCTTTTGGCTCTTGCCCCAGCCTGCTACTGTAAGGATACGATGAAGGCTATAAAGGGACCTCTATAAATACACCTCCATCCCACTGTCTCATCGAGTCCTTTTTCTGCACTTACTATTACTGAGAATTACAGCCAAAAGGGAGCTGGCTGCCTGCAACTCCTTGTTCTAGCTGACTCAAAGCCCTAGCACTCAAAGGCATCTCTTTATTTGTGAAACTGGGGGAAACAGGAGTCAATGAATAAACCACACTAACGAGTATGCAGGTCAGACCTTTGCTCATTACCTTAACTCCACTCAACTGTTTTTAGAATCTCATGTATGGAAAGACAGAGGGCTCTGCTAGTCCAAATGCATGTGCTGGTTTTGGAGCCCGCAGACCTGCATCCCAGGGGCCGCAGCGTGCCCCTCACGCCGCAGCCGGGCAGAGCGGTGCCAGCGGGCAGCTCCGGATGCCACCAGCGCTCTGACCACGGGCTGAGGAGGGGCAAGGCCGCAACCTCCACGGCTGCCCAGCTCCCACGGGGCAGTGCTGCGCTGAGCCCAAACGCCTGCTGCAGCGGGGGCACCGAGACGTCCGCGGGGCAGCTCTGCTCTGTGTGTCTGCAAGGCCCTGCTGCCATCGGGGAGCAGAGGCTCTGCCCGGCCCGGCACGCGGCCACGCGCTGCGGTGCTACGTGCTGGGCCAGGCCAGATCAGCTCTTCCTTGTAGGAAACACTGGAGGACTGCTGCAGTAAACTGAAACTGCTCACAAACTACCGACCGACTGTCTTCAGTATAGGTAGTTTTCTTTTCTTGCAGAAGAAAAACAGCCTCTGCCTTGAAATGATTACTAATATTTCTATTACTGTACCGCTTAGAAGCAGAAGGTGAGCCAAGATCACTGCTGTGCAATAGAACTGTGGTGTGCCTCTGTGCACGGGGCAACTTTTAAGGCTTAGATTAACTATGTTCAAGATACCATCTATTAACACACGATCTGCAGTGCAACTTCCAAGTGTTTTCTGTTGCACTTCAGTACTGCAATGTAAAATTAACCTGTTATTACAGATCTCTTGCTGAGAACATGCACGTTAGATAAGCTGGTGGCTCTTTCGCTGAGACATGCTATACCTTAGTTTAGGACTTCAACATGCAAGGACTACACTAACGAAGCACTTTTGCTGGAAGAATGCAAGACATGCGTTGCTGCAAACTTCAACCTACAGCATGCAACATCTGTACTGGTGCAGTCCTATTGGATCCGTTTAACTGGAACACATGCCAATGAGTTAATTACTGCCAATGGGAGTTAATTACTGCAGCACTCGACACTTGCACTAGTACAGATCCTGTTCAGAAATACGCAACACGTTCCTTGGTCAAGGGAACCTTTCGTCAGTTTACAGATCTCCAGGCTTATAGAAATGGAGCAAGTGCAATGATAATTACTGCTTAAAACCAGAAGTGTCCCTACAACCAAGTCACAGACTTTGAGATCTGCCATGGCTACGCCACTGAAAGATCCTGTTTGGCACTAACGGCTTCACACAAACCCCATGTTCCGCAGCACTGCGAACTCCAGCTCCGAGGCACCAGGTGCTACAAGTCCCCAAGATGCACAGGGCAGCGCCCGCAGCTACGCAGACCTGCGCCAACCCCTCCTCCTGCGGAGCCGAGCGGCACTGGAGGCCAGGGCCCTCCTCCCCTTCCCCATGGCCCCGCTCGGCCGCAGGAGCCGGCGCCGGGCTGAAACCCCTGCAGCTGCTGCCAAAACTGAGCAGAGCCATGGCCGGGCCAGGGCAGGGGAAGCACTGGGGGGTGCGAGTGCCCCGCTGCTTCCCCACACCTGGGCCCAAGTGCCAGAACCAGCGAACGCAGGGAGCCGGATACCGGACCAAGGTAATCCACCTACTCTGCTATTTAAAATGACTGCTCTTAAACAAGCCTCTGAATTGCTTTATCAAGAGAACCTGAAACTGCTTGCAGCCTCTCAATTTTCGAATGTAGTTAAAAATACAGTTTGACCAGGGAAGAATTTTGGACAAATTAGGACCCTTGAAAATAGAAATCCACTGAGTAAGTGCTGCTAGGACAGCTTTTAAATGAACAACATAGCGCTGCCTTCACACTGGAGGGCAATCTTCTTTGGTTCATATTTTTCCACTCAATTTCAGGCAGGGGCAGAGGGCCAAAGTGTAACATTGGCAGTTACAAGCATTAGTAGGAAAAAGGACGCTACTGGGATTTATGGAATGGTACAGCAAGGAAGGACGCTCTCACAGAAGATGTTTCAACCCAGTTTGGTGGACTTACAGTGAAAGCTTTTCTTATTTTCCAAAAAAGAGAAAACCTGGGGGTGCTGGGAGCGAGGAACACCAGCGGGCACCCGCCGACGGGCGGCGCAGGAGCCTCTGCAGGGGGCTCCGGTTTGGGGCGCGCTCTGGAGGCGCCTCCTGCGGGGAGCGGAGGCGAGGGCAGCTCCAGTGACCGCGGCTGCAGCCAGAGCACGGACTGCGAGTCTGGATTTGCACTGACAAAGCCCTCAACGAAAACCTCCTCCGATCACATCTCCTCTACTCAGTGAGTGCCTCCAAGGTACAAAGTCTTTCCCTCAGCAACGGCCGGAGAGCGGATGGGCAGGAAAAGCACGTGCAGTAGAGATGGCTGCTGGTACGGTGTCTGAATCGCAGCCGTGGGGGTGACGCACCGAAAGGGGGAAGA